ACTTAATGACACTTTCCCACCCTCAAACTTTTAAAATTCCCCTTTACTATCCAAACATTATGTTTCACTCTAGTTTGGGTGGGAAATACAATGATTTACTCTTTTTCTTCTCTTCTTAGCTTCTTCCATTGCCAACAATTGCTGCGAGCGTTGGGGAATGCCGACGACCAAAAAATCAACAAACAAACCACAAATTCTATAAATAAATATTCCTCAATCGTCTTTCAACCCAACAAATATAAAAATTGAATGAGTCAAACCCAATTAATCAATCAAAACTCGAAAACCCTAGGGTGGGGAGGCTTCAATCGTCGGCGATTGGTGAGAAATGAGATCGAGAATGTTGGGGCTTTTGGAGAGGAAGATCAAGGGAGTCAATTGGTGGTGACAGAGACGATTTTCGGTAACAGAATCGACCGAAAAAGCACACAATTGGTTCGCATGATTCTTGTCATTTTTCGGTCGATTCAAGTGTTGGAAATCCCTTTTGAGACCACTAATCAACTCATCAGCCCCCATCTCCAAGACCCCAACCTTCTTAACTCCAATTGCACGTCGTTTGTAGCTCTCAACCAACCTAGGGTTTCACTATTTTTGCGTCGATTCCTCTTGATTTCGGCAACCAAATCCAATTTTCCACCACACTTTCAACCTTCGTCTTCCCTTTTCGAAACCCCTCAAACCCTTGTACTTGATTACTCACTATTCGTTGGTCGTGAATCGATGCCATCTGTCGTTCACTATCTTTTCGCATTTTAATTTTTGATTTCAGATGCAAAATGTTTGTCAACCATTCTGCCCTCACTTATAACAGACTTTTGACCATCTTGCCCTTATTCACAATAAAAGTTACTAACAAAATCGTGCTTTTAAGTAATAAAGTAATATTTTAATAGTAATACTACATTTACAAAGAAATCTTACAAAGATCTCCAAACAAAGTGATGTGACAAAAAATGAATGGAAGAGTGAATATAATGAGTTTAACTTTTTGTTTCACTCTTCCATTTATTTTTTACCACATCACTTTGTATGGAAATCTTTGTAAGATTTCTTTGTAAATACAGTATTATTGATATTTGAAATGTATGAGGGTGGAAAAATGTCATTAAACTTTTGTTCGAGTGGGAAAAAGTCGTTAACTCATGTATCGTGTTAAAACATACAAAATATTGTATAATTTATCAATGCATCACAAGAAAGTCTCAGTGAAACGAGTTGTAGCAAGAATTGAGGTTGATTAGCTCGTTTTGAGTTTGCAAAAATAGGTAGGATCATGGAAGAGAAACAACTTTATTATTGGAATAGAAACGATCGTATTGATGCTTGATTTTGGACACCAATGACTTGCACGTGCAAAGTGCTAAGAGAGTCTTAGAAATTACACGTGATGGATCTATGAGATTTGAATATGGAGCTGAGATTATATATGTTGCAGAAAACATAAATAATAAACTGACAAGAGAAGTTTTTATAGTGGTTCAGATGCTTAAAGCAAATCCTACATCTACTGTTATTTTATTTTCTCTGGCTATTTCTATGATATTGCCCATAAGGCATACAAAGATGGAGAAATACTTTGTTTTTCAGAGAGAAATAATGAAGCTCAAATCTATGCCTAGCTCTCATATGTCCAGCCCCCTCTTTCGTGAAGAGAAGTGCCAATTTATACGCCTCTAAGGTCAATGTAATGAGTGTTTTGTAAGTTTCCTTGACACATGGACAACTCTCATTTGTTCTTCTCTTAAAATGAGATAGGGTTGGTATAAGATATCTTTGAGGCGGTATGGGCTTGACAGGAAGTACAATTTGTCTTTTAGGCATTTATTCAGCTGACATCAGTATGACTTTTTAGGCATAACAAAACCCCCCCAGTTTTTGGAGTGCGTAATCATGCATCAAAAACTTAGGTCTTTTATCTGAATGGCTGTCGCATTGTAGGCTGCAGTCTCGAACTGAAGAGCTCGAACTATGCCTGGCGCGATCGGGTGCTGAGAGCTAGGACTACGATCTGAAATCTTGGAGCGATCCAAAGCTGAGAGCAATCTGGTAACTGACATGAAAGGTCCAATAGATGAATTCCTAGAGGGAGCTAGCGTCAGAAGCCCAAATGCACGGCTTAGAGGCCTTAAATGGATAAGCCAACTTAAAACAGCCATAACTTTTGATTCGGGAGGAGTTTTGGAGCCCGTAAGATATCCACGGAAAGCTTGTTCCAAGCTCCATGTCGTGGCAATTGGGGAACCTAGTTGGGGCAATTTTTGAGGCCAAGATCCACTGTTTCGGCATGTTTCGGGGCTATTTTGAGTTTTCTACGCGTTTTTTCTAACGTTAGCAGCTGGTCACGATTTGAGAACTGATCGCGATCTGAGAGTTGAGAACACGACCTGAAGCTGTTCACAACGTCAAAGCTAAGAGCTGATCGCGATTTGAAAGCTAGGAGTTGATCGCGATCTGAGAGTTAGGAGCTGATTGCGATTTGATAGGAGCTCGACTTGAGAGTCTAAGGCATGTGATCTGAACGTGTGATCTCAATGATCTTGAACGCGCGATCCTGATGATCTGAGCATGCGATCAGCGATCTGGTCATGCAATCGGAGAGCTTAACATCAACGATCTGAAGCTGAAGATCAAGACGATCTAAGCGTGCGATTAGCAATCTGGCCAGGCAATCAGAGAGCTAAAGATCAGCAATCTGAAGTTGAAGATCAAGCTGATCTGAGCATGCGATCAGCGATCCGACCACGCGATCTGAGAACTCTAATCCGTGCGATCAGCGATCTGGCCATGAGCTTTGAGAACTCTGATGCATGCGATCAGTGATCTGGCCACGCGATCTGAGAACTTTGATGCATGCAATCTGCGATCTGGCCGCACGATCGAAGAACTCTGACGCGTGCGATTTGCGATCTGGCCATGCGGTCGGAGAACTTTGACACGTGCGATCTGGCCATGATGTCGGAGAACTCTGACGCGTGCACTCTGGGATCTGGCCACGCGATCGGAGAACTCTGACGCGTGCGATCAGTAATTTGGCCAAGCGATCGGAGAGCTAAAGATCAGCGATTTGAAACTGAAGATTAAGACGATCTGAGTGTGCGATCAATGATCTAGCCACGTGATCTGAGAACTCTGATGCGTGCGGTCAGCGATCTAGCCATATGATCTAAGAACTCTAATGCGTGCGATCTGCAATCTAGCCACGCGATCGGAGAACTTTGATGCATGCGGCGTGAGATCTGCGATCTGGTCATGCGGTAAGAGAACTCTGATGCGTGTGATCTGCGATCTGACCACGTGGTCGGAGAACTCTGATGCGTGGGATATGCAATCTGACCACACCGTCAGGGAACTTGGACGCAGGTTTGAGACCTGCATGAGCCACCAAACTGTTGATGCTTGATTTTGGACACCAACAACTCGCATGTGCAAAGTGCTAAGAGAGTCTTAGAAATTACACATGATGGATCCATGAGATTTGAATATGGAGCTGAGATTATATATGTTGCAGAAAACATAAATAATAGACTGACAAGAGAGGTTTTTGTAGTGGTTCGGATGCTTAAAGCAAATCCTACATTCACTGTTATTTTATTTTCTCTGGCTATTCTATGATATTGCCCATAAAGTATACAAAGATGGAGAAATACTTTGTTTACAGAGAAAAATAATGAAGCTCAAATCTATGCCTAGCTCTCATATGCCCAGCCCCCTCTTTCGTGAAGAGAAGTGCAAATTTATACACCTTTAAGGTCAATGTAATGAGTGTTTTGCAAGTTGCCTTGACACATGGACAACTCTCATCCGTTCTTCTCTTAAAATGAGATAGAGTTGGTATAAGATATCTTTGAGGCGATATGAGCTTGACATGAAGTACAATTTGTCTTTTAGGCATTTATTGAGTTGACATCAACGTGACTTTTTAGGCATAACAGATCGGCACGTCAAAAATAGTATGTTTGTTTCATTTATAGCTATCCATTTTATTCAAACTTAGATCATATGGTTGAAAATTAAGTGATATAAATGAAATGGTGTTAAGAAACTATGAGATGGTAAGGTACTAAAAAATTCTTAGAGAATCTGCTGTCACACATGAACATTTTCTTGCATGCAAAAGACTTTTTTTTTTTTTTTTTTTTTTTTTTAACCCCAAAGGGTTAGCCTGATGATCAATGAGATTTACTTCTTTCATTGATTTCTTGGATTCAAACCTTGAAATCATCAATTACATTTGTGGTTGACCTTGGAATATTGGGCTTGTAAGGTATTCAATAGGTCTTAGAGACTAATTAAGGTGTGCGCAAATTGGCCCGAACACCCCGGTCATCCAAAACAAAGAAAAAAAAAAAAACCATATTTTTTCATATATGAAATCTAGTGTTCAATTATGTTCTAATACTATTTGAGGTGCTGAAATTTGCTTTACAATAAGAGATTGTCCCAAAGTCTCTTTCAGCCATAGGTGAAGTTGTTTTAGCCAGCAATTTTTAAGATACCTGGACACATTTTGAATAAAAAATGATAACGGTTTGCTTCCACTATATTAGCTAGCCAGGATTGACTGCAAACTTGCACATTCCATTTCTACTTTAGCAAAAAGCCTAAGAATATTGAGTGTATTAGAGAATTTCATAATGTTCCCTCAATCAATCTCCTAACCAAAGTTTTATTGTATAAAGATGAAATTTGAACAACTGAATACACTCATATATTCTCTTTTCCAGTAAAGAATACAACTGAATACACACCAACATTTACCACAAGTACTTAATATGCATATACACATTGTCATAAAGACGACGTTTATTTATGTGCCAATTCAAGAAACTCTTGCTTTCTACAACCAAATCCTACTCTTCCATAACTTTTCCACTTCAAGCTCCTGCAACATTTTACATGGAATTAATATGTGCGTATGCATAATTTTAGTAAGCATTTAAATTTTCCCATGTTGAAAGTTAGTTTAAAACCGGTTGATTTCGAATTAGTTTGCATACCTTGGTCATATATTTTTCAACCACAGAGGGAAGGTCAAAACGGGGCTTGTAGTTTCCAAAGAATGTGCCCTTGAGTGTTCTTTCATTCAGTAAATTCATAGGGTGAGTCTTGAACACAGCATCTTTATGAGGAACCCCCACAAGAACAGCAACACTCCAACCCTGAGATTAAATTTTATTGCTCTTTAGCATTCTAAAATAAACATGTTTGGACTAATAGTTCATGCTAAATTTAGTTTGATGTAGGAGGGATGTGAACTTTATGAACTTACATCATGGACACATTCAAATGCAGAAATCATGGCGTCAACATTTCCAGTACATTCAACGCTTCTGTCTACTCCTCCATTGGTAATCTCAGCAATCACCTAGTATTTCAGCAATGTGCAGGATAATTGTTTAGATCATTATCAGATATTAGATCAGAAATATTAATGTGAACACTAGTAGGAATATGAGGAAAAAGAATCTAGAGACAAACCTCTTGAACTGGTTTCTTGTGATCTTTTGGGTTCACAAATTCAGTCACTCCAAACTTCTTTGCTGAAAAAACAAAGTAAAATCTCAGAACTGTAGCAAGCAATGGTTCTTTCACTGATAGATTTTAACTCTTAGTTATAGTTATATATTGTAAGAAACAGATAGTTTACCTTCTTTAAATCTATTTGAATTCAAATCAACACCAATAATCCTAGAAGCCCCAGCAATCCTTGCTCCTTCAGCAGCCTATCGAATGTAACAAACATAAATTTCATATGGTCATTGAAAATTTTAGTGAAAGACACTAAAACAATTCATATGGGCAGTAAAAATACACACAGCAAGCCCCACAGCACCCAAGCCAAAGATAGCAACTATTGACCCTTTTAAAAGTTTTGCAACATTAAGAGTGGCACCAAGACCTAATAAAAAACAACAAAAATTAATTCATAACCAATTCAACAAAGAATTGAGTTTTACTGGAATAAAAGAAAAAAATATTCCCATGTTTCTGTACCTGTTGAAATTCCACAGCTGAGCACACAAACTTTGTCAAGAGGAGCCAAGGGGTTGATCTTGGCAACACAACCAACATGGACCACTGTGTACTCACTAAAAGTTGATGTGCCAACAAAATGGTAAATTGGTTTGTCATTGATGGAGAATCTTGATTTACCATCATTGGGCATAACACCCCTGTCAGTGTTGATCCTAAGAAGATCACACATGTTGCTCTCTTCAGACTTACAGTGAGCACAGTCTTTGCATTCCCCGGTGATCACAGGGAGCACATGATCCCCCGGTTTGAGATCAGTCACCCCCTCACCAACACTCTCCACAATCCTATGCACCAATAATCACCATACAGAATCAAATCAGCATATGCATGAACGAAATGTACATTCAGATATTTAAAATGGTGCACAAATATAAAAGTTCACATACCCTCAAGCCTCATGGCCGTAGATTCTAGGAAATAGAGGATTCTGCTCCTGAGAAATAAAAATAATAATAATAATAAAAAAGATATCATTTCGATGAATTCAGAGTGTATACAAGTCACTACAAAGCGTTTTTGTTTACAAAATTGTGAAGATATTTACCTTGGCTTCCCAGAAGTAAACATCGGTATGACAAAGGGAAGTGTAGAGGATCTTCAAACGAACTTCTTTTGCTTGTGGAGGAGCCACCTCCACTTCTTCAATTACCAATGGCTTTCCAGCTTCCCACGCCACAGCAGCTACATAAAATGATATAAAACTCATTAGTTGCTAAGGAAAAAAAAAATATATATATATAATAGAGGAAACTTATGAAGCATAAACTCTTGAACTTTAGAAACGTAAAATGATCAAAACAATGTACCTTTCAGCGTATGACCTGACTAGCAGTGCATGCCATCTCTTCCTATACTTCGAAATTGACAACGAAACACAGAGTTGAAAGATTAAATTTTGGGCAAATTTTTATAAGCTTTAGTAGTCTTTGCTCTTGGTGGGTAATGGTTGTACTTTGAGGGGATACTTATACCCCATGAAAACAAACAAAGGGTTACATTTAAGGTATTATATTAATGAGATTCTTATTGGCTTAATTTCCTCTTTTCAACCAAACAGTTTCCGAAAACAACATGGAATTGGCGGCTGTGACAATACCGTTGCCAGATTTTGTTTCGAGCTTGGATACAAAACCATTCCCAGTTTTGGTTCCTGGGATTTATGCCCCTGGTTTAGTGGTTTTATTGTTGGTTTATCTTTAATTTAATACAAAACCATTCTCAGAGTTAACGACTTTTTCTGACCCAAAAAATAGTTTACTGACATAAAGGGCTGTAATTGAGCCGAGCCGAATTGAGTATTTGGCTAATCAAGTTTGGCTCGATTACAAATGGTTAGAGCTCGAGTTCGAGCCAAGCTTATCAAGCTTTGGATTTCAGCGCATGGCTCGAACTCGAATTGTATAACGAGTTCAAGCTGAGTTGACTTGGCTCATCTTGAGCCGAGTTTTTTTAAGTCCTACATGAGCCGAACCGATAATATAATATTGAATTGAATTAGTAAGTTGCTGTTATCTTGCTTAGGGTCGTGCTAGGATTACAGGATTTAGCAGGGCAAATCCGTCACATACTTAGGGAATATTCTAAGCGTATCCCTAATTTAATATATTTTTCCATAATAATATTAATATATAATTACAATTTCCCAGATTTTTTTGAAAGTCAAACTTGCAATTCTTCTCTCTCTGTAGAGGTGAGTTGAAACGTTCATGAAAGGCACCTTGACACGCTAATCACAAGTCCATAAAATTGCATAAATAATAAAGCTCGAGTAAACAAATGTCAAATCTTAAGAGAACTACTTACAAAGTACCAAACTAATTTATTTTATTACTATTTAATAAAACAAAATTTTAAGAATGAATTAATTAAAAATAAAACAAATTAAAAACTAAACGAAAGCAAAATTTTATTAATACTTTGAAAAAAAGATCAATATGACTAAACCTAGGATATATATTTTACACCAATTTAATCCTATGCATTGACAATTATTGCTAACTTAATTAAGCTTATTCTAAAGGCTAAACTCCATAATATTTCACTAACTTTCTCTCGAATAATTAGTAAATTAATCCTTAAGCAATAACCCAAAATATCTCTAAAGTGGATTTAGAAGCTAAGAGATCATTAAGTTCTATAGAATTTACCAGAGCCTCAAAGATCACGATAACCTATCTCTAACGTTCACTCAATTTATGGTTTTATTACCTTAGACTAATCAGGTTTCATCTCTCGATTTTAACCTAACTCATAAAATCATTCAACTCTCAGGCCCTTAAGAATTGAAAGCATTATACACAGTAATAAAACTAAGAATTAATGCTAAATGAAAATTAACAACAATAAGGTCAACACATATTCATAAATTGGGCTACATCTTTAGCCCTAAAAAAGGAATTTAGTCCATAATTGCAGTAATAAAAACAATTATTGTATTAACAAACATGAGTTCGAGAAAGAAAATAGAAAACTTCTTTAATTGGTGAACGAAAACTGCAAGAATTCCGATCTCCAAAATAATAGCTGCTCTTTCTCCTTCTCTAACCTCCCTAAAAACTAATTAAAGACCCTTATTTATAGTGTCAAGGTTTGGAGGTTAATTAGGAAAGAATTAATTGCCTAAACCATTTCTATCATCGCGATGATAGTTCTTTCTGTCCCAAAAGTCTAGAATATTCAGAATCTAGTGAAGTCATCAACATGAACTTGTAGCTCTGTAAATAAGCTGTCCAATACCACAAGAATCATCGAATTAAGATTTCTATAGCTCAAGTTATGATAAAAACATCGAAGCATGCTTATCTTGACAAATTTCCATGTTTTATGTTTTATCTTTAACACGTCACAACTTTCTCGTTTCAACTCCGATTCTTGTACCGTTTGTTCTTACTCGTCATGAATTCCATCGAAATCATTCTTCTTCATTCCAATATCGTTTTTAACCTCAAAATACACCTGTGATCTCATAAAAGGTATTTATGAAATAATTAACTCAAATTTCATAATAAAAACACATTTTTCCACAAATAATTCAATTGAATCACTAACAAAACATGTATTTTCAAGCTCTTATCACATCTTCTCTTCTTAATCCTAGTTTCGTGTTTGAGATTGAAGACAGTTAAATGAAAAAAACTTCCACAACCCTCATTTTCCTCTGACCTTCCTTTTTCTTTCAATTTTTTTTTGTGCGAATTTCTTCAACCCTAGCTTTACGAAGAAACAAACAACTTCCTTTTTCTTATTCTCTAAACTTCTACTAATTACTTCTCTTCTTTATCTACGTGCACCATTATTATTCCCTTGATTTTTCTTTTCCCTTATCTTTATATCCTCTTGGACTAGACTCACTCTAGATCCTCATTCTAGATCCATTCACCCACGAACGCTAAAACTATATTTTTTCCAATTAAATCATGGATTTTTGGTCAAACAAAGAAGGCTTTGTTGAAGAAGATTAGATTTAGATGGTTCAAGCTGCCAAACTTCATTTCTCATACTGAAATTACTGAAATTTCAGCTGATAATGATACCTTTGCACAACTCTGTCGCAAAACGTTTTTAGGGATTTCAAGGTTTAGACTTCATACTCTATTTTCGATTTGGGAAATTTGGTTTGGGGGGCTTATTTCATGTTTTTTCATTAACTACATTGGGGTGAAATGTTATTTTTACCAATTTTTAAGATTGAAGATAGCGTTTTACTACCCCATAGTTTGTAAAAGTCACTAAAGTAACCTTGCATATACGAACCAGCTCAGGCTCGCGAGCCGCAAGTTCGAATTGAGTTAACTTGGCTAATTTCGAGCTGAGTCTTTAACAAACTTTAGAAGAGTCGAGTCAGCCGCGAGCTGCTCGGCTCATCTAACAGTGTTAAATTTGACATGTTCCCATCCCCACACTTTTAAAATACCATTTTACTACCCAACATTAGCAATTTTCATTGTGAGGAAGGGCAAGATGATCAAAAGTTAGTCAAAATTGAGGGCAGGACGGTCTTTTGACTTCCTTAATCACTCCTAAAAAGCCAGCTGTCTTTAGCAATTTCTCAACCTTTTTCCAGCCACTTTCTCCACTGAAAATCATCCCCACCTCGCCATTCGACTCATTGTTGAGGGCGTTAGCCCCATTAGTGACGATCGTCATAAAATTAGGTTGTTTTCAAATGGTTGGGGTTGCAAAAAAGCGACTGTCTCGCGGCAACAATGGCCGGTTGTAATACCCAAGATGTTAAAGGCATGTTCCCAACTCAAAATAGTCATTTAGATGTTAATTTTATGTTAAAAAACATAAAATCTAACTAAGGACAAAATAGTCAATTCATTTGTAACGGTATGAATCAATTATCCATAAACAGGTATTAGGGGCAAAATAGTCATTTTTCCTATAGATAAGAATTGAAAAGGTCAAGGATTAATAGACTTAATTGCATTAATTAAGTAATAATTATGTCTAGTGTGAAATGACCAAAATGCCCTTATATGAAAAATTAAGGACTAATGAGTTATACAATTAAAATAATTTGCCAATAGCATAATTTTGGAAAATTAATGAAATATTTTCCAATAAATGAGAGGAAATTCGTTCAACCTAAAAGAGATATCATTTCTTCAACCTTTCTTCCATTTTCTCTCAAATCTTCCATGAAACAAGCTTTCTCTCTCTAAGTTTTAAAGGAGTTTTGCATAATTTTTCAAGGAGAAGAAGATAGGAGCCTTGGATCTTCAAGTTGAAGGGTTTAAGGTGAGAAATAAAAACCCTAGTTTTGATCAAGTTGAAGGGTTTAAGGTAAGGAATAAAAACGCTAGTTTTGATGTAATTTGAAGATTTGAGGTAGATGTTAAGGTATAATGTTATATATGTACGAATAAGGTGTAAAAGAAGATAAAGGCAAAGGATTTGGTGGGGGAAATCTTTAAAAAGGTAAGGAAGAACCTCCCATGACTTTAGGAATTATGCTAGGATTTGTAGATTTTAATGAAACCTTGAATTAAGGCTTTAAGGCATGTAATTAGTTGATGACACGTGTAGTTGAACTCATTAATGTTATTTATTGCCTTGAATTCATTATACATGAAGTTATTGCCATTTGTGTTTTATGAGTTGTTGTGTTTAATTGAAGAAAATGAACTATTGATGTTGATTGTGACAAAACTTGTAGTATTGAAGGCCACATGGTGTTGAATGGTTGCTATTAGAAGTGTTGATGTGTTATTTGCATTAACTTACAATGTTACAGCAATGATGGATGATCATGGGAGTGAGGTTTTACACTTTCCTTAAGATGTTAAAGACTATCAAGGGGAGGTTTAATTCCATAAGTTGACATATTTGTTAATTGTCAATAGAAGTTTATATGGCATGGTTTAATATGAAAAATTCGGATTTGGCAATTTTAGGAGTTATGTTAAACATGCTTAAGTATTTCAACCATAACTTGACTTATAAAAATCAAAATGAGATGATTCTTGAAGCATTAGAAAGTTAAGACATAACCCTATAACTTTTATGTTTATGCCAAGAGCCAATTCACTTGAGAAATTGATGGAAAATGGCCTGAAGAATAAATTTCTAGTTATTAAAGTTTAAGATTTAACATGATCAATTCTTATGATTATGAATTGATTATTAATGTATTGTTGTAATTAAGCCATGTTCTAATATTTACCCATTAGTTTGATGATCTTTGAAAGATATACATGGTCA